ATGGTACCTCCCGATATTCGGCATTTTAATGGTTTTTGCCACATTTCTTCGCAGGTTTGTCTAAAAATTGGTATTTGTTGGTCTTAACGGGTTCTAGCTCTTTTGGCGAAACACTGTATGTATAGGTCCACGTTTTTGTATAGCCTCATATAGCCGTATTTCCCGATATTCGGAATTTTGATAATTTTTGGCATATTTTCCCATGAATATGTGTAAAAATTGGTATATGTGGGTCATAGTGGGCTCTAATGTTTCCTTTACCCTAAGGTGGAGGGTATTAAAAGTCTGGCCCGGTCGTGTGCAGTTTTTTTTTTCAAAAAAAAAAAATATTTTTTTTTCATATTTGTTGTATTTTAGTTTTCGATTTGTTGCTGTATTATTTAGTATTCAACCTTCTTACAATGTTGTCGGAACTTTTAACACTGTTTTTTTTTTGTCTCTCTTTAGTTATACTTTATGTCGAGGAAAGAGATAAGCTTCAAAATTGAAAATGTGGTCTCTAGAGAGAAGGGGATTTTGCCCTTGGCATGTGTCGTAAATGTCACAAATCTATGTATTTGACATACCATCTTCGGTGTCTACTTGTATTCTACCAAAAGCTTAGCATTTTTTGTTTGTTTCTTTCTTCACGCTCAACCAGAAAAAGGGGGCTAATAGTTTTTGCTTTATGTACTTGCTGCTGCTATATATCACACGCTTATTGGAAACCTAATAACTAACAACATCACCCAACAAACAACAACACCTAGCACCCATCAATCCCCGTCACCAACCTCCCACCCTTTTCATACATTGCATTCACGTGCTTCGTCTCGTTACACTTCTTGAATAACAACCTCTATTACCTTTTACTAAGTTGTCTTCCAACACACATCATGTCTTAAACGAACGATGTGTGTTCGTATGTAGTATGTAAATATATATTTGCTATATGTTGGTAAATCTAATAAAAGTTATTGGAAAATATATAAAAAAAAAACAGAATGAGGATAATAAGACTGGAGACGGGAACTTTATCTACCACCTTCATAAGACCAGAGAGGAGCTCCCACAAGAAGTTCGTAACAAGTATTTTTTACTTATGTATATAAATCATTGAAAATGAGTTTTTGTATGTTATTTTTAGTTTAAGAAGCTTTGCATAATATAAAATTACAAAAATAAAATAACAAATGAAAAAGAGTTATCTCAAGGATATCAAGGATGATATCAAATAACGAAAATAATTATAATTTTGGAAAAGATATAATATATTGTGGGAGACATCAAGGGAAAGGACTTAAACAATTTTTCTAAAAATAGAAAATAGTGTATTTTATAATGATGTCCCATAGGAAGAAGGACACATAAAATGAGTGATATTTTCGCGGATTTATATCCTGTAAAACGTTTGGAATTTTGATTCACTCTGAGTTGCTACTTTGCATATATATTTTAACTATGGAACTTTTTTTACCCAACTGTCGGTTTTGCCAATTGATGTATAACCTCAGCCAATGGTATCATCTCCCCATTTTATTTAATTTCAAATATTAGAATTTCAGCTCTATTCCTTCACCCAATACCAAATTAAGTAACATTTAGTACGCCTATCGAAAACAATCTACATCCCTTTACCCTAGACTCCAACAATGTTCCAAAATTAGTATCATTTTGTACTCTTCCAAAACCACCTCCATATCTTAACCACCAATAGTGACATCTATTTCACATTTCCCAATACCCATTTTAATTCCATATAGCACTTTTCGAACAATTGTAGTTTATATTTCTAAAACCACGTCCAGATACCAACGGAGACCTCAGTATTATATTTGAGGATTCCAGCCCTTCACGTGGCATCAAATTTAACGTTATTTAGTACTTGTTGTACAAAAATAATACTCATTGGGCAAACCACTGCCAATTCTCAAACACAAATACCATCAGTAATCTAAATATCGAATTTCAGAATTTTATCACTATCCCTCCAAAACAATACCAAATTTAGTAACATTTAGTACTTTTCGTACAATTATAAAGCCAAAATATGAAGAGCGAACCTAATACCAAATTTTAGATTTCTGCTCACCTAATACCAAATTGTACCAAACATACAACGATTTGGTATTTTTCATGAACATGTAGTACAAATTTTCCAAACGGCCTCTTTATCTCAAATCTACCACCAACAGGGATCCCAACACCAAAACCGCGAAATTTTAGCTCCATTTAAGCTCCAATTTTAACTTCCTACATCATATACTCCAATAGAAAACTTTTGGTTCACCTAAAATTTAAATTCTACTAAATATAGTACCATTTAGTAGACATAAGTACGAATTTCCAAAAACTACCTTCATTTCTCAGTTTTACAATGCAATAGTTAGTTATTCTTTTTCTAAATTTCAGAATTCCAGCTCTATCGGTTCATCCAAGTCGAGATTTACCAAAATTTAGTGTCATTTCGTACTTTTCGTGCAGATAAGTACAAATTTCGAAAACTTCCTCCAAATCGTACACCCTACCAGCAATGTTTATTTAAAATTTCAGGATTCCGGCTCCATCCGTTCCTCCAAATTGAAATTGTACTAAATTTAGCACCGTTTAGTACTTTTCGTATACATGATTACACACTTTCCAAAACTACCTCCTTACATCGGCTATACTCCTCAACCTTGATGAAATTTCAAGTTTTTAGCTCAAATCGTTGACATCATACGAAAAAGTACTAAATATAGTACATCCTGGTACTTTTCGTACAATTATAGTGCGAATTGCTAAAAACCCTTTGGTACATCTATCATACACTCCATCAGGGACCCTTATTCGAAATTTAAGATGTCTAGCTCTACTGCTTCCTCAAAATATAAAGGATACCATATTTAGTATCTTTTTATACCCTCCACTATAGTATGGAGGGTGTATTAAGTTTGTCATTCCGTTTGTAACACCTCGAAATACAAATTTTAGACCCCACAAAGTATGTATATTCTTGATCAGCATAAAATTCTATGGCGATGAATTGGCGATATCCGTCCGTCTGTCCGTCTATCCATTTGTCCGTCCATCCGTCTGTGGAAATCACTCTAGCTTCCGAACGAATTGAAGTAGATTAATAAAATTTTACTCAAATGTATGTTATGTCTGCAGGACTTTTGGTATTTTGGTAAAATGGGCCACGTAGGTTCAAGTTTTGGTAAAGCCCCCATATAACGGTACCTCCCGATATTCGATATTTTGATGATTTTAGCGACATTATTTACCGGAATTGTTTCAAAATTGGTATTTGAAGTTCGTAGTGGATACTACAACCTAAGACAGAAAATGGGCCATGTAGGTCCACGTTTTCGTAACGGTACCCCCGATATTCGGTATTTTGATGATTTTAGCGAAATTATTTACAGGAACTATTTCAAATTTTATATAAGAAGTTCGTAATGGATACTACAGCCTATACCAGAAAATTGTCTGTGCATGTCCACGTTTTATAACCCCCATGGTACCTCCCTATATTCAGATAAACATAAACAGACTTTTTTCAAGTTTCACATTTAAATATTGTAATAGCTGGTGACAAAAGTCGCCTATACAGGTCCACGTCGTCGTATAGAACCTAATATACGGCTACATTCGGTATTTTTAAGATTTTAACAGAATTTTTAACGGATTTTATTTTTTTTTTTAATTGCCAAATTGGTATCAAATGGTGGAGGGTATTCAAAGTTCGGCCCGACCAAACTTACAGATTTTTTACTTGTTTTCAAAAGAATTATCTCAAATTTGGAATTTTGAGTTCGTAATAAGCACCACCTTCTCTGGCGAATAATTGGCTGTAGAGGTCCACCTTTCCGAAATTTTTAAAATTTTAGCGGGATTTTCAACGGTTATTTTTTAGATAGAATTCTTTAAAATTCTTTAGTAAATGAACGTTATTTAAATCTCCTTAATCTGTCGATGTTCTTGTAAAGATTTTACTTTGGTAGTAGACCTACAACAAAAGTGGGTCCTTCAAAGTTCCATTTTGTGCAGCTCATCTCTGTGAATAGAAGGGAACTTCCTTAAAAATAAGTAAAAACTGTAAGTTCGGCCGGGCCGAACTTTAAATACCCTCCACCATTTGGGACGAATTTGACAATTTTCCAAAAAAAAAAAATCCGTTAAAAATACCGAACATAGCCGTTAAATGCATATAGCCGGACCTGCATAGGCAACTTTTGTCATAAGCCATTACAATATTCAAATGCGAAACTTGAAAAAAAGATTCAGTGAATAATGTAGCTAAAATCATTGAAATACCGAAAATAGGGAGGTCCACGTCGTCGTATAGACCCTAATATAACGGTTACATTCGGTATTTTTAGGATTTTAACAGAATTTTTAACGGATTTTATTTTTTGGAAAATTGCCAAATTCGTTCTAAATGGTGGAGGGTATTCAAAATTACAGCTTTTTTACTTATTTTGAGTTCTAATATTCGTTGAAATCTTTTTAATACCCCTCTGAAGATAAACGACTTAGAACTTTTTAATGTCTAGATTACCTTGAAAAGCTCATCTACGGATTGAATACCTATACCGCATTTCTATCGCTAAAAACTCATTGAGTAAATGGAGGAAATATTAGAAGACATTAAGGTGGCAATTTATTCAAGGTTTCCTATAAATATCGAAAACTATTACCATTTGCCTACAAGTAGTTTATTTTATAAGTTGTATGTCAAAAATAACAACCGACCTGCTATCCCACTTATCAGTTTTAACGAAATCCAAACATAGTTAATCATTCCAAACAAAAGCGACATAAAAAATATTCGTCACAAAGAAAACTGCGCTGAAAATAGAATCACGCAATTTCCATTCATGTTTTCCGCCAAACAAAAAACAACAACAATAGAAAAACCCCGATAAACAAACAAAATAATCAATGACCTATTCGTTCCTCAATTATTGGCAAAAGAGGGGAAAGGGGACCTTTTTTGGTTTGCTCTCAAAATTAAATTTCAGTTTTGTTTTACTTACTGTGTTGTATTTCCGAAGCCGAAGCCAACAAATCATTGTTGTCATCATCCAACATGTTGCTGTTCGAATGGTGGTTCGATGGTCGGGTTGAATGTAAAGTATGCAATGCCTCCCTTTTCTATGGAAGCTGCCTCTCTCTAACGGTTGTGATTTAATCAATTATTTGACTGAGTCCCACAGTCCCCCCAGCAGAAGTATGGCAGGCAGGCGGGCAGAGGGAGGGGAGGATGGATATATGGTTGTAAGATTAATAGTTGGCTGGCGTTTTATGGTTGTCAATAAAATTCAATTGATGACGTCATGTGGTTGAAGAATGATATCGTTTGCCCGGTGTGCAGGCGGATGTGAGGAGTCTTTCTTTCTGCCACAGGCCACAAATGTTTGAGCAAAACGAAAAGATAGGTGGCAGCACGCTAGGCATGCAACAACACAGAAGTTCAGCAACAATCCAGACACTTGTTAGGCTTTTCCAAAAGGTGTGTGTGTGGGAAGGTAGAGGTACGTTTGATTTTGTTTGACTGTAATTTTAAATACTTGAATTTTTTCTGCTTCCAATTTTGGGATTTTACAACGTCGTATAGGGCTGGAATTTCATCTATTGTTCGAGTCGATCTCCGCCAAACTATAATTTACCAAAAATCTATCCCAGACTATGTGTCATTTACACGTAATTTAGATCTTATCAAAATGGCCAGGTTTTATCTCCACGCAAGCATCAGGATTCACAACAGGCAAGTTTTTTATCTGAAATTAAAAAAAAAACAACTTTTAATAAAAATAATTAAAAGAAAATTAAATAACAACATGAGACTAACTAAAGATAGATCTGATTATAGAAAACCCACAGAGGATAAAATTTCCCATAGAAAACCTAATTCATTTATCCGCTCGGGATAAGGTTTTCGTATAGAAAAACCTTTATCCGCTCCGGATAAGGTTTTCGTATAGAAAACCATTTATCCGCTCCGGATAAGAATTTCGTATAGAAAACCTTTATCCGCTCCGGATAAGGTTTTCGTATAGAAAACCTTTATCCGCTCCGGATAAGGTTTTCGTATAGATAACCTTTATCCGCTCCGGATAAGGTTTTCGTATAGAAAACCTTTATCCGCTCCGAATAAGGTTTTCGTATAGAAAACCTTTATCCGCTCCGGATAAGGTTTTCGTATAGAAAACCTTTATCCGCTCCGGATAAGGCTTTCGTATAGAAAAAACCTTTATCCTCTCCGGACAAGGTTTTCGTATAGAAAAACCTTTATCCGCTCCGGATAAGGTTTTCGTATAGAAAAACCTTTATCCGCTCCGGATAAGGTTTTCGTATAGAAAAACCTTTATCCGCTCCGGATAAGGTTTTCGTATAGAAAAACCTTTATCTGCTCCGGATAAGGTTTTCGTATAGAAAAACCTTTATCCGCTTCGGATAAGGTTTTCGTATAGAAGAAACCTTTATCCGCTCCGGATAAGGTTTTCGTATAGAAAAACCTTTATCCGCTCCGGATAAGGTTTTCGTATAGAAAAACCTTTATCCGCTCCGGATAAGGTTTTCGTATAGAAAAACCTTTATCCGCTCCGGATAAGGTTTTCGTATAGAAAAACCTTTATCCGCTTCGGATAAGGTTTTCGTATAGAAAAGCTTTTATCCGCTCCGGATAAGGTTTTCGCATAGGAAAACTTTATCCGCTCTGGATAAAGTTTTCGTATAGGAAAACTTTATCCGCTCCGGATAAGGTTGTCGTATAGGAAAACTTTATCCGCTCCGGATAAGGTTTTCGTGTAGAAAAAACCTCTATCCGCTCCGGATAAGGTTTTCGTATAGGAAAACTTTATCCGCTCCGGATAAGGTTTTCGTATAGGAAAACTTTATCCGCTCCAGATAAGCTTTTCGTATAGAAAAACCTTTATCCGCTCCGGATAAGGTTTTCGTATAGAAAAACCTTTATCCGCTCCGGATAAGGTTTTCGTATAGAAAAACATTTATCCGCTCCGGATAAGGTTTTCGTATACAAAACTTTATCCGCTCCGGTTAAGGTTTTCGTACAGGAAAACTTTATCCGCTCCGGATAAGGTTTTCGTATAGGAAAACTTTATCCGCTCCGGATAAGGTTTTCGTATAGGAAAACTTTATCCGCTCCGGATAAGGTTAGAATACTTTGTTATAAAATTGTATTTCCATATCATCTTATCCACTTGAGAAAGATTTATGCGGATAACACTTGTTGCTTTTCAAAATTATTATTTGCATTGCTGATTAGCATCAGCATTTGGTATTGGTCATATTCGAAAAAAAATCTTAGCTAATGTGTGTAAGTCCATATACAAACAGAGTTAAGCTAATGATCTGTGTATTACTGTTGTCGTTGTTGTTATTGAATGGATATCTATTCATTGTCTGCTTTGGATTTGACTGAGTGGGAGGGTATATTATGCTAAGCAATAAATTGTTAATCATTCATTGGATCTTGGGTGAATAGGGAGGTGGGGGAGGGCCTACGAACACTTTTGCATGTTAGTATGGCTATGGTGGCAGTCAGTTAGTTTCAAGTACACACAACATCAGCCATGTTCGGAATGATGCATCTTTTTTTGTATGTGGTGTGCGAGGGTGTGTTTGAACTTGAAAATTAGCAACGATTTGAAATATTGAGGGAGGCAGAGAAATTATTGAAATGCTTGGCGAACATTTACATTTCGTTGAAAATTGCATTCATGCTTCGAGAGACTGAACTCCTACGTGCTCATATTCTAACTATTCGATGGGTTTCCATTGAATTTTTAAAAAATTACAATTCTGAGATTTGGTTTTCCATTATCAGATCCAATCGGAATTTATTTAACTATTACGTTTTAATTTTGTAAAAATATGAAATAATCTCATCATGTAAAAACTATGCAGAAAATCTAATCTGATGTAAATCGGACCCTGATATGACGGCACAATTATTGATGACTGAACTTAGCAAAAAACTAGAATTCATGAAGCAATTAATTGCCTGTTGACTACCAATCTGATTTAATCACTTCTTAATAGGTGCCAAAGCGTTTATGGTGGATAATAAGATTTGTAATAATTGACAATAATTTATGTGAGAGGAATATAGAAAAAATGAATAGCACCAAATGGGAAAATGAAAAAAACGAGAGACATTTTTTCAGGAGGGACTATCTGAGCTATAGCCAAACAAAATTTTATGAATATTTTTCAAAATGACCATCGTGTATTTTCTAAGAATATTTTAAGAAGGCTTCCGGAGAGATTATTGCTTATTTCTTCAAGAATATTTATAAGGTACCATTGCCGATTTTCCAAAGCTTATTTTCGGAGGTTCCCTTGTAGACATTTTATGAATAATTGGGTGGCCGGCTGGATTTTTTAAAAATATTTTCTGAGAATTTTCAGGGCATTTTTTTTAAATATTTTTAAGGTTTTATTGAGGATACACAACACTAAATAAAAAACGAGTAAGCAAAGGCTATAGTCGTGCGAGGCCGACTATGTTATACCCTACAACACTACAATATGTTAGAAGCCCCTTATGTCCAATTCCATACTGGAAGATTTCGCTTTTGAAATTATGAAATTTTTGAAATTAGGATCCCTTTGAAATTAGGATTTGGAATGTCCCTAGTCATTTGCCCAATATTTATGCACTCCGTCGTGCTGTTAGTTGTTGTAATCGATATTAAAGCTAAATATAGTCCAATAGTCATCCAAAAAGCTAGAATTCTTCCCTTTCCACTCTTTCCTTAGGCGTGTCGATTGGCTATCAATTGTGTGATCAGGAAATTGTTTCTGTTGTTTCATCTCCATAAGCAAGATGCCCCTCTGTATCTCTAAATTTAGACTCGTCTATATGAATAGCTTGTCTACGATATTTTGTTATATTCGTCAAAGAAATTAGCATAAAAAAGACAGAAGTTCGAATTTGGTGTATTTCGGATATCGCCGGTAACTAATGCAGGTATTTTTTCACACAAAATTAGTGATCCATTGTACCCGCTGTCCTAAACTCTAACTTTATGCGAGATTTAGTGTTTCTATTTGTGACCTTTATAACGGCTGCAAAATCAGGAAAAATTTTAGATGTTTGTCCACTTCAACCCCTAAATATATTGCGGACATCTTTGAAAACAATAGTTCTAGCTCTTCTTAACCCCACCCTACCCTTTTGAAAATTTTCGTAAAGATCGGACGATATTTGAAATCCTTATATAATAAACACAACCTTTGTTGTAAGGTGAAAAAATATTACAAAATATACACTTCAATATTATAAGTCAAATTGAAAAAATCTCATGCGATACAAAATATGAAAAAATAAAAAAATGTCACAAAATACCACAAAATCTATATTAACATAGTTATTGGCATATTGTTCATCGATTTTTTTTAGGTTTTACGCTTTTATGTCAAGAGGGCATTCCGAATTGACAAAATTTGTCAAAATCGGTCCAGCCATTCTTGAGATATAAGCATTCTAGCTAACATCCCCTTCCTTTCTATATATACATTGTATATATTTCGCTATATATATCCGATATTTTTACTATCGGCATCTGCGTAACGGTCAGAATTGACCTGTTCGTCTATTTGCGATTTCGCCGAGATTAAAAATATTCGCGATTTATTGGAAAATTTGACTTTTATTTATCACAAATGTTGTGGCCTATTTCACCCACTAAATATTACCCGATGAAAATTGGAAGGCTTCTGCCCAGTCCTAAGCTCTAGCCCCATGCTAACTTCAGCTTCGATTGGTCTATAATTGCGACCTCTAGAGCAACTGCAGGAATTTTTTCAGTTTTTGGTCCATTTCAACCCCTAAATATTATGCGATCATCATCAAGAAATAGGGTTCTATTTTGACCCTAGCCCCACCTCCATTCTACATTTCGTAAAGATCCATTCAAATTGTTGACCCTCTATTGATTAGGTTCCGAAGGAATGGGCCAATATTGTCCATTTCATATCGGACCGAAATAAATATTATATAAATGTTGCGACGTACCAGGTTTGAACTATATGGACTATTTCCTTCACTTTATATGAGTTATGTGATAAGTTTTAGAAAATATTAAAATGTGAGTGGGTTATCAGATATAGTGACCGAAGTATTCCATTTTCATACTTCATTTAATACCGACACAAATTTTGGTATGGGCAATCGAACATTTATATCCAATTTTATGCAAAATCATGAGTTCCATATTCATCTCAGGTTTCTAGTTGAAAGACATATTTAGAAAAGGCTAGTTGTAAAGAATCGCTGACTCGATTCGCAAGTTGTGACAGATGGAAGAATTTTAAATTATGACCCTTTATAGATGAGGTACCAGAAGGGGTTCGCAGATATATATCATCTTCACAACACATCATGTGTTAGGAAAAATGTTTGTATGTGTGAAATTTGAAGAGAGTTGGGTGCTTATTTCGCTTTTAATGAGCGTTTTGTTTTTCAAAATCTTGAACTCTATGTGGGAGAGGTACCAGAAAAATTGGTCCGATCGCTAAGTGTAACATATTCAAGAGTTTATTGTAAAAAATGAGAACTTTTTATAAAAAACTTTCGCGAGCATCCTTAACAAAAACTGTCGACAAACCAACTGATACTCCCCTAACATGCTCAAATATTTTTGCTTGTCTCTTTCTACCCCCTTCGAACCACGGTGCAAAGATTAATTATTTTTCTTTTTTGTTTTCTATAAATGTTTAAAAAAAACTAACCAACAAACAGGAAATAACAACA